AAATCAGACTAGAAGGTAAATATGTACATTTTGAATGCTGTATCCAAGAAAAGACCTTTATTACCCTGGCCCAGTGTTACATCAGGATATAATCTTCCGACTCAATCACATCATCTGCGCAAAATCCTCTGAAATCTCCCAGAGCCCCTTAGTGGTGGCAACTGGAATCACATCTCAAGAACTACCCAGATCTAAAAATCTTGATGTGGTTGCCCCTCTGTCACTGCTATACACTGGGATCTGGTAAGATTTCTACACCACATCCATTTGCGACCCAAATAAATAAGCACAAAGCTTTGGGTAGCAATGGTGTTAAAATACAGTAAAGTTATATTTATAGTTACATTTTATTAATTAAAGGCATTTATACAGTGCTAAAAAGATATGCAGTACTTTACACACTGTACATTCACATGTGTCAAACACAAGGCCGGTGGGCCGAATCTAGCCTGCCAGGCCCTTTTATGTGGCCCTAGCACCTCTCCTGCAGCAGCAGCACCCCCCTCAGTAGTCAGTAGCATAGAGGAGGACAGAGCTCCTCCACCAGATCCTGCACCACTTCGTGCAGTTGCAGCACCCCCTGGTCTCCCGACTCCCCTGCTATCAGCATGCAGCAGACTCTGGTAGCTGACTCCAGCCCACCTCTGGTTCTCTTGTAGACCCTGTACTTCCTGATTCCCAACTCCAACTCTTTTTTCTAAAGCAAAGAGTAAAAAAGGGCAGAGGTGATCAAATACCACCAAAAAGAAATTTCTTTTTCAGGGAAAAAAAGGACAAATTTAATTGGCGAACAGTGTTGCATGACCGCGCAATTGTCATTTAAAGTAAAGCAACAACGTATAGCAAAAAAAATGGGCCTGGTCAGGAAGGGGGGTAAATCTTCCAGAGCTGAAGTGGTTAAAGGGGGGAGTGGACTCTTTTCTATGCCCACTGTAGGCCCCATTCACATCTAGTGATTTGGGATCATACAGTGGAATCACCACGATTCTGCCTGTGATTCCAAATTGCATTGCCATGCTGGCAAAACAAAGCACATGTGTGTGCGCCTTTCATTTTTATTGGCACCTAAAATGACATGTGGTTTTGCCACAATTTTCACACGGTTTATCACACGGCAACTTTATATCATGTGAAGCTTGATGCCCAAAAGGAGCAGGAATTTCTTTTGGGCCAAAAAGCTTCGCTTGATAGTTTACCGTGACTGCAGTGAGATAAATCGTAGGTTGCAGTGAGATAAATCGTGCGATTTGGAATCACGGGCAGAATTGTGGCGATTCTGCCTGCGATTCCAAATCGCTAGATGTGAACGGGGACTTAGAGATGCCAACTTGTACTTACAAAAAGCTTGTCACTGAGGAACTAACATTCCCATGGACATCAAGGCAAAGGTTGGCAGGCATGCTGGGACGTGTCATTCCACAACAGCTTGAGAGCCACAGGATACCAAAACAGAACTGAAGTGATAAATGAAATCTATTTAGCTCACTAAGCAACAGGTCTCAAGTATCAGCTGCCATTTCAAACAACATTTTGTACAGAAGAAAGAACTAAATAGGAAATATCTCGGATTTTTAGCAGTACGTACGTCTAGAGGTTGGATGCAATAAATCATGCAGAGAAAAGGAGACATTTGTGAAATAAGTACGAGCTGAAAGGTGAACATTTTCTGCATTCGGTTTATTATACAGGATTTATATATGGCACCAACAGTTAGCTCAGCGCTTTACAATATAAAGGGAGACAATGCAGCAACAATACAGTTCAATACAAGAGGGATAGGAGGGGCCCCGATCAGGGTGGATAAAAATCAATGATTTTTTAAAAAAAATTAAAAAAAAGATCTGATTTTTTTTATTTAAATCGGATTTTATTTAAATTGGATTTTTTTGAATAAAATGCTTTTTGAGGAAAATATATTACCACCCAAGGGTTATTCCATCATGAAATAAAGATTAGTTTTTTAATTATGTAGAATAAGGCTGTATATGTTTAATTGTTTTGGTAAATAAATTCCATGAATCCATTCACAATGTCATGCTCTTCCAGAGGTTTTTGTAAGATTATTGGGCAGTTTCTCTGCCTACAAGATATTATCACAGATGCTTGGTTTACTTTTGCAGTTCTCAAAACTGAATTTGACTCAGCGGAGATCACATGCCTCTTCTTCACAGCAAAAATGTTATAACATGAACAGAGTTAAGAAAAAGACCTTAATCCTAACTTCTACAAACCTATGAATACAGAATCAACCCCTTCAGTGCTAAGTTTCAAGAAGTTCAGTGAATAGAATAGAAACAATATTTTTCTGATTGTTTGGAGTGGAATAGATCTGCACAAGAAGAAAGTGAAACTAAGTGTGAGGAGGAAGGGGCTGACAGTCTACGTTTCTTAAAATATATATATTTTGTTTAGCCAAATTAGTTAACAAACATGGATGTTTGTTTACGCAAATAACATATGCTGGAATGTTATTGTTTCAGTTGAATAAATCTATTTAAATTGTTATTATTAAGGTAATTAATATTTTTCTCCTTCCTATGTACAACAGAAAAGTTGTCCAAATATGAATGATTAACCTATTAAACTGGGGATAAAAAAACTAATATGAAAAGTTGTTATTCTAAAAATCTTCATCTACTTGCATATTAAAGTTATACCAGCAAGAATTAGTCTATGTAGAAAACTAGGATTTAAATCAAGCCTGACTAGTGATTTAAATCAGTTTGATTTAAATCAAATCCACCCTGGCCCCGATCCTCAGAGCTTACAATCTAAGAGGGAGCGGCTGGTGGTACATAAGGTAATAACTGTGGGGCATGGACTGGAAGGAGGAATAGAAGATTCTATTATTAGCTGAAGGCAGGATAGGCTTCCCTGAAGAGATAGGTTTTCAGAGATAGTCTAAAAGTGGGCAGAGTAGGCAAAAGTCTGATAGATTGGGGTAGAGAGTTCCAGAAGATGGGGGAGGCTCTGGAGAAGTCCTGGAATATTCAAGGGCAGCATTATGATAGCTTAATTTTTTCCTGTGTTTTACTATGATGATAATATGAAAGTTATGTGGGCTTTGGGAGTAGAATACTGAACTACAGGTACATTACACCGCAATCGGTGCTCCACCTGAAAAGCTGCAGAAAATGCATGTTGATTTTTTTTTTTTTTAATTTAGCCACCAGCCCTATTCTGTATTGCAAGCTCTTCCCTCTCTCTGGAAAAGTCAAATGATTTGTGATTTTTTAGCAGGGTGTTCTAAAATGGTCATTGGACTACAAGTCCTAGAATACACTGCAGAACACTAGACGCCAGTATATTGCAGGACAGGGAGTTGCTGTGTACACTTTTAATAACCACTTCAAGACCGGGCCTATTTATTATCTTTTACTTTACATGTAAAAATTTGTATTTTTGCTAAAAAATTACCTAAAACCTCCAAACATATTTTTTTAAGCAAAGGCCCTACAGAATAAAATAGCGGGTGTTGCAATTTTTTTTATGTAACAGTGTTTGCGCACAGTATTTACACTTTAATGAATTTTATTGTAGAAAAAACAATATAATACCCAATTGTTTGGTAAGATGTAAAAGACGGTGTTACGCCAAGTATATAGATACTGAGCATGTCACACTTTAAAGCTGCGCATGCCCGTGCAACAGTCACAAACTACGTATATTTTTATTATATCTGGAGCTGGAATTATTGTTCTCAATCTGACATTTGCGGTGATACTGCAATCGCTGTTTACAGACTGATGCGGGACTGACGTGTGCATTAGCCTTTGCATGTGAGCACAGGGGCGCTTTAAATTTTAGCATTTTATTTTCACACGGGCCCTTAATTTGTTTTTAATTTTAAATCACTTTTATTGTTATCACCAGGAATGTAAACATCCGTTGTGACAGCAATAGACAGTGACAGGTACTTTTTACTGAGACATCTGGGGTCTACTAGACCCCAGAACTCTCCACTGCCCTTAAAGGCTTTGGATTATATGGTCCGATGCTTTTTCAAACTAGTAATGGCATCCAGCACCTGCAGGCAACATCCTGGTATAACCACTCAAAGTTGGATGATATGTCCATACCAGGGGCGGACTGACAATTTGGAAACTTGGGCACTGCCCGAGGGCCCGGGGTCAGTATAGGGCCCCATGAGATGCCCCTGGTACCTTTTTCATAGGCTTTTTTGAGTTTGGCAAGGATACAGGGGCCCCATGATCCCCTATTGCCCGGGGGCCCCATGAGTTGTCAGTCCGCCCCTGGTCCATACGTTGCTTGGTGTTAAGTGGTTCAACCCAAAGCCAAGAATGTAATATATTGCAGCTTACCAACCATTAGATGCAGTGGCTGCATTAGTTTTCTTTTTTTAAGGCTTTTTTCCACCTTCTGTTTTCACCTGGTGATCGGACTAGCAGCATACTGCCTGTATTAGAACACCTCCACTCTGGATGAAGGAGCATAGGGGACACAGCAGACAGCAGCATTGTGAGTCTGGGAGGTGGCCGTGTTAAATATACTAGCAGATTCAAATACACTAACAAATTGAAGCCAAACCCCAGCTAAGGCCTCATGCACACGAGACATTTTGCAAACTCTCCTAGAAGTCTTTCTGCCTGGCAGCAGGGTTTTGGCAGAAAAAAAGCTTGATGCTTGTAAAAAGTGCCTAAAGCTCTTACAAGACTTTAGGGGCATTTACAGGTTTCAAGAGCTTGGGCGTTAATTAATTTACCCCTGGTTCACATATATGTGGCCATGCGGGCCGCGTTTTGTGCGGGTACAAAAGCCCATTCATTTGAATGGACTCCCGTGCCCCGTGACACGCAGGGAAGAAGTCCCTGCACTTCTGAAAACGCAGCCCGCACGGGAACCTCGGTTCCCAGTACGGTTGCGTTTTCCAGTGTGGAAGGCGTGCCATTAGAACTATTGGCACCTGCCCGCGGGTCCGCATTCCTCTGTGCGGGTAGTGCAGCTGCACGGATTTTCATGCGGTTCCGCAGCCACACCACCCGCACATATGTGAACCTAGCCTAAATTGGCCAGAATAACAATTTATTCTGGCTAATAAAATGAATAAACCCTCAAGTGCTAAACGCACCTAAAATTTAGGCGCGTTTAGCAGTGCCAAGCTTTTTTTCTGCCATAGCAAACTGCTTTTTTCCTTTTGGGATAAAGGTTTTATATAAATAAAAGTTGATCATTGTAAGCACCGCTGTCAGTGCTAAATGGTTTGTCTCATCTCTGTAAGCCAATACATTTGCAGGAGAGCTTGTTCTGTTCAAAACAGGCTAAGTGGATGAACATAGAAGAAAGAAAGCCTAAAAGAAAACACAGCTATCACAAGTTAGTAAGTTGCAATAAAATAAATGATCGCTGTTGAATACTACTTTAAGGACTCATATTTTCCACCAGTTGAATACACACGTAATCAGCAATAGCTGCATTATACTATGTAATAAAGGCCGCACCACAGGGAGGGTTGGTGAGCACATGTTCCCAGCCTCAGACATTCCCACTAGTCCCTGTACATGGAGAAGCTGTGTTCTGTTCAGGGCAAATCTTTTCTTCAAGGGTCACCCCTCCCCCGGCATGGCTTGGTGTTCCCAGCAGGAGGGAGCTGTCCAGCCTCTGACAAATCTGCATATAAACAGACTGTCCTGGAGAATGCAGTCACTGCACCAGACTGGACAGACGGGACTATAGGAAGCAGAAATGGAGACCTATCGCCTTTCTGGGGAACAACAGAAAACGTCATTTTGTGACATTCAAAACCTCAAGTTGTAGTTTGCAGAGAAGTGTGTGGACAGGACGTCAAAAACTGGCAGCAACCTTGGCAAAGCAAATATCACAGACCATGTCACCAGGTCAAATGTAACACCCAGTTATAAACATGCAAGCACAATTTAATATTTAACAATTGCAGAATGTCACAAGACGTCATCCTTCCTCAGCCGTGCATGACTGTTCAGTCTGGAATGGTAACAATGTATAGAGGGTTTTTTTTTTTTTTAGAAAGAAATAACATCTGATGGAACAATGGCTTGATTTATTGTTCTAGCTCTCTAGCACAGGAGACATACTCACCAAGGAACTGCCTTACCTGATAAAAGACTTTGAATTCTGTTCAGCCATTCTTATGATTCACATGCTATGGGCAGCACAGTGGCTAAATGATTAGCACTTCGGCCTGGCAGTGCTAGGGTCATTGGTTCAAATCCCAACTATGGCACCACCTGCCTGGCTTTTGCATGTTCTCCCTGTGCCTGCGTGGGTTTCCTCTGGGTACTTGGGTTTAAATTGGCCCTAGTATGTTTATGTATGAATGCAAGTAAGACTGGCCATACACTGTACAATTTTCTTTAGAAAATTGCTTTAGATTTACCAAAAACCATAGGATATGGAGGTCAAACCTAAACAACACTTTCAATTGTATCCAATTAGGCAGGCCCTTGCACTACACAGTTGAAAGTAAATCTAAAGAAAATTGGGCAGAAATTGGACAGAAAATTGTATAGTGTATGGCCAGCCTTAGGGACTTTAGACTGTACGCCCCTTGAGGGTTAGGGCTAATGTGAATGTACAATGTGTGTGTGTTTGCGTGCGTGTGTGCGTGTGTGCGTGTGTGTTGCGTAAACTGATGGTGCTATAAGTACCTGTAATAAATAATGTGAATGCATTCTACAATGCAGCATTAAATCAAGGATTAAAGCTGGCCATAGATAGGTTTTTTTTTTTTTTCACTCAGCCAGAGGAAAAAAAAAAAAATAAACACAACAGATTCCTCCATCCACAACAAGGGAGGTAGATGGAGGCATCCCTCTGACACACTGGGGGAGATTTACTAAAACTGGAATGTACAAAATCTGGTGCAGCTCTGCAGAGAAACCAATCAGCTTCCAGGTTTTATTGTCAATGCTTACTTGAACAAGCTGAAGTTAGAAGCTGATTGGCTACCATGCGGAGCTGCACCATATTCCAAGTGCTCCAGTTTTTGTAAATCTCCCCATATTGGAGGATGGTTGCTGTCAGAATAAACTGATCGTTGGCTGCAGACAATCAGTAAAAGTCTTTCAACATTCCCATACATCAGAAGTCCATCTTAGATTGTACGCCCCTTGAGGGTTAGGGACTGATGTGAATGTACAATATATACGTAAAGCGCTGCGTAAATTGACGGCGCTATATAAGTACCTGAAATAAATAAATCTAATGATCAACTTCTTTCAAACAGGGATGGCCACGCATGGGTCAAAATTCAGCTGATTCCTCGCTAAATCGGCTGAATTTCAATCTATGACCAGCTTAAGGGACCATTATCACATGTATGTTGACTTGAGTTGCGTTACAGCATTTTCAAAGCTAGTGAAAGTTTGGAATTGAACTAAAAACCAGACCTGCAGCATGTTTTTTTTTTTTTTTTTTGGAATATGTTACAGCATGCCCAATGGAGGTCATGTGCACAGTGGTGAACTGCAGTGTGGATCTATTGATCCTAGTGCACTCGTGTTGGGGTGCCATTGTAAATGAATGGCATTGTAAAAAAAAAAAAAACTGCACATGGTGCCATGCATTGTGTTAACAAGCGGTAAACCACGGGGTCCTAACTGATGGCACTCCATTTATTAGCCTAAGTGTGTGTGTTTATTATTAAATGTTAACATAAAATAAAGACTTTATGTAACTATACTACCAGTACTTTAAATAACATTTTTATTATTCAGAATTCAAACACAAATGAAAAATATAAATGTTTTATTTTTGTATTCTCCAAATTGTGTATGTTGAAAAATCTAAAAACTTATTTAAAACAAAACAAATGTTGAGCAAAGGGAGGATGAGGCTGAGCCGTGCTATGTATGTCTATGGATGCACACAGTCCAGTTCGGGAGCGGACAGCACCAACGGGGGACCCTAGAAGAGGAAGAAATATCCTTGCACAGATCGGGTAAGTATAAAAAATTATTTTAAGTTAAAAAAAAAAAAAAAAAAACACTTTAGTATCACCTTCTTTATTTAAAGGTTGAGGAAACAGGGAAACAGAGCAACTGACATTACATGTGAAAGGCTGGCAGCCCCCACCCCAGGACACAGTCCACAGTCCAGTAATCATGGCAGATAGGTTTGTTTTCCCATAAACAACTATTTATATGGGTGGTTACAGCCCCTTGCTGTTTTGTGTCAATCAACAGATGAGGATATGGAGGGATTAAAGAGGGCATTCATTACCTTGTTACAATAAAACAGAACATTCATTTTCCTAATTAAAACATAATCAACAGTGTTTCACATTTAGGAAAAAAAAAAAGAAAAAAAAAAAAGATTAACGGTTGGCTGTGTAAATTTGTTTGCAAATGAGTTCTGTGCCAAATCTGTGTGTGGCTATCTGAATTAGGAAGTGTTTATCAATATGCTTTGTCTGCTCTTATCAGTAGTAAGCCATTACAGATAAGGAAAGGAACACTGAAGGACCAGGTACTTAAGCAGCGCCCTAGAAATCGCATTGATTTCATATTAAAGTGATACTAAAGGATAGCTTTTTGGGCTGTAAAATAAAAAAGATGTTATTTTTACCTGCTCTGTGCAATGATATTGAATAGAGTGGTCCTGATCCCCCTTTTCTGGAATTCCCCTTTTCTGGAATCCCCCACCGGAGCGGTCTGCTCCTTCTGTCTGGGGAAGAGGAACCAATGGTTCCGATAGAAGAAGCAAAACAGGAGCTGATCATGGAAGAGGATTCTAGGGAGAGGCGGGCAATCATGCATTGAAGAGGCGGCCAATCATGCATTGAAGGGGCGGGCAATCATGCATTGCAGGGGCGGGCAATCATGCATTGAAGGGGCGGGCAATCATGCATTGAAGGGACGGGCAATCATGCATTGAAGGGGCGGGCAATCATGCATTGAAGGGGCGGGGCTTACGGAAGAGGAAGAAGTGTAGCACTGCAAGGGGCTCACATTTATTTCTGAACCATCAGGTGAGATTTCATGTTCTTGGGATTTTGCCTCCTGGGGAGACCACTGTTCCAGTTCCCCAGAGACTGCCTTTCACGGCAATAACCAGCCATGCTCCCCATACTTTGGCCCATTGAGTACTGCTCCATTACTGCACTCCGGGAGTCTACACACATGCCCTATCCCAGGAGATACAGGGCTTTTTCTTTATAGACTTCACAGCAAAAAGGTTCGGCCTTTCCATTAAGGACCTTTTATAATCCTAAAGTGGAACTACACCCCATCTGAGCACCACAAATCAAAAGAACCATTTAAAGTGGAGTTCCACCCAAAAGGGGAAGTTCCGCTTTAAGCCTTTGTCCCCCTCTCCCTGTTAAGGACTGGCACCTTTGGGGAGCGGGTACCCGAATTTGACAGGTACCAGCTCCTACGTCCGCTGCGATCACCTAAGGCAATCGGAAGGGGAGGTTTTCTCCCCCCTCCCTTCCCGTAGTCTTTTGGGACACGTGACAGGTCCCCGAAGACTACGGGACCATTCAGAAAGCACGACATTTCTCACGCATGTGCAGTGGGCACCTGGCTGTGAAGCCGCAAGCTGTCACAGCCGGGTACCCACACTGAAGTTGCCATGGAGAGAAGATGGCCGGTGAAACCAGCCATAGTGAGGACACTGCTGGACCGAGGGACAGATAAGTGTCTGTGTTTTAAAAGTCAGCAGCTACAGTTTTTGTAGCTGCTGACTTTTATATTTTTTATTCAACTGGAACGCCGCTTTATTCATTTCTCATATTCAAAGCAAATTCCCCCATCCATCCATGTCTTCATACTTTGTTTTGCTCAAAAATCACTTAGAAAAAAATCCCTGGCATTTCTGGCCATGGCAATCTTGAGTAAGGGCAGCTGATTCATATGGCATTTACTTCCTGGAATCCATCTGCCCTTAGCTCAGGCATGCAGACAGCAGAGTGCGCTCAGCTGAGAAAACCCCCCTGCCCTCCTGAAGACTCCTGGGATACAGGACAGCATTTGCTAAGCCACTGAAACCAGGAAGTAACTAAAGAAATGTAAAAAACGG